AGCCGTTAGGATCCCATTTGAAAAACTAGCTATTTTATAGTTGTTTATAGCCATTGGGATTACTTTTGAAAAACTAGCCGTTTTATAGCCGTTGGGAGCTATTGCAGCGGTAATCGATTCCCAACTTGACAACAAGAATATTGTTTCATACTTTGGCTATAATTTGAGTTGTACTTATCGGATTGATGTGACCTTGGTCTCATTAGAAAGATAAAAGAGAGATCTACAACTTTTATGAAGAACACAAGATCCAAATCCATCATCTTAGATACGAAAAATTGTATGGAAGGCAGCAGTGAAATTAAGCAACAAATTTTAAGTTCAAATGTGTTCTAGCTTGCTTCCAACTACTTTTTGTGAAAAATCTTGACTTGATAAATATGTTTTGAAGTTATAAAATATGTCAAGGATTTTTCTCATGGATTTTTCAAATTTCTTTCAAGTATATAAAGGTTATGATTATGCAATTTGAAAAACACGTTTACTTTGAGATGAACTTTGAGCTCATGCAATGCAATCTATCATATACCCTCACATATATTTTAAGTCCTGAAGATATATTCTAAATATGATTTTAGACTTAGCCTCATCTCTTGTGTCTTGGATCTTTTCTTGAACTTGATGCTTTCACTTGTTGAATATGACAATGCTTGACACTTTGTTGGTTTTGATCATTTTTCACTATGGTTATGATATTGAGCTTCTCTTAGATGTTGTCCATGGTTAGTTGTCTTTGATATTGTTATTGCTCTTCTAATTATTCCTTGTTGCTCTTGATCCAATGATCTTGCCACTTTGATATGACATCACGCTTCTTGTGTGGCTACATCATACATCTTCAATATCCACATATGGTTGATGCTTTTTGCTCTTGATCAAATGATCTTGCATTTTTGTTGTTGTCACTTTGTTATCATCAAAACATACATTGTATCTACAAAAATGCATTGGGTTATTTACAACATGCACAGATGTGTGCAACGAAGAAGATTGAAAATGACCTTCGATACTTTCAGTGCAACGGAGAAAGCAGAAAATGACATTGGCATAGATGTGCAGTCTGATGAGGTTAGATTAGAAAAAGGCCTTTCAGTCACATCTCTCATTTTCTTTTATCCATTTCCCCAGTCATCTAAGAATACGACATTCGAAGTGGGATTTCTGCTTTGTGTAGTCGTCCATTTTTTCCTCACAATTGATAAAGGATGGCAAATACGTTTGCTTGCTAAATTTAGAAATAACTTGAACCAAACATGGTGAAGAAAAAATGCCACTTGCTGATGCCTGGATATCTCACCAGAATACTCGAACCAAACGCCCCCTTAGTGAAAATTAATGGTTAACTAGTAAAGTGTTTTAGGTCTATTTGAATTATGTTTTAAAAAAGCTTTTGATTTTTAGGAGAAAAAAATAAAAAAAAAATTTGTTTGATAAGGCCTATTTTTTAAAAAGAATTCTAAAAATTATAACTATTTTTTAGTTTTTAGAATCAAATTTAGAGAACATGTATCAGTTATTTTTATTTTGTTTTTTTACTTTTAATTTTCAAACCAAAACAAACATAAAAAACATATGTTTTCAAAACTATTCTATAAAATAATTTAAAAAATAAATAAATCAAAACACAATCAAACATGCGCTTAATTTCTTTAGTTTAAAGACTTGAGATTGCAAAGAAAGGTTAAGTACGTATTTGTAGTTCTCTTCGGCATCGGCCTCAATTGGAAGAAGTTTTTCTTTTATATGCTACTTCATAAGGGTTTAATATCTTTCATATTGTAGGAAATAAAATTATTTCCTACACATATGTAAAAGTGAGTACAGTCCATTTTTTTCTTCTATTTCTCTATCTTATTTTTACATGACCTCATATGAGTTCCACATACGTTTTTATATGTGAAATTATCTCCTATGACATGAGAAACATCAAATCCACTTCAAGAATGAGGAAATGGTTTGTGCAAACAAGTTTTAAGTGCTTTATCGTAGAGGTGGCAAAGCAGGCAATCCACTTTACCCCGCCATCAACACGATTAAAAACGAGTTAATATACCTCGCCCCGCTTTTAAAAGTGGGTTGAGAAACTCAATCCACCCCACCCTACCTCGCTAACCCGCCACAACAACAAATATGATAAGCCTTCAACAATAGTATAAAGCTATATTCCTATAAAATATACTATAATTCAATTGGTAAACAACATCTTTCTTTTGTCTTCTTCTTGGTGTGTCTATGTGAGTGGGTCTGAAGGGAGAAGCAGACATAATAATTCTTATCCAACCCAACCCAATTTCTGAAGAAAGAAAAAAGAAATCACCATATAATAAAAAATTAAGACATTGCATGCCTCTGAATCACAGACACAGTTTTTTTGGGGAAAAATGCATGTCAGACACCAACATGTTCCGACACGCGGTCAACTTTTTGGGACATGTTGACTAAGGGGACACACGATTTTGACCAAATTCGAAACACGGTCAACATTTTGGGACACGTTTTGACATTTTTTGTAAAAAAGAAATAAAATTACAATTTAAAAAAAAAAGTAAAAATATTTAATAAAAATTAAAAAGTTTAGAACCCTATCTTATCTCGTTCACGCTGGACGCTGCTAGCCACTCCTTCTCTTCTTCATCGTCGCTCGTCGCCTCTCGCCTCATCTATGCTTGTTGTCTCTTCTTCCTAGGCTCGTCATCTACGTCTCTAGTCCTAATCAGAAACCCGGTAAGTCTCTTTCGATCTTGATTTCGACTATTTCTTCCTTGTGCTGATGTTTTTCTCTCCTTTAAGATTGGATGCATTAGCGTTGTGTTTCTTCCTCGTTGTCTCTGCTTGTTGCTCGTTCCATTATGGGAATTTCATCAATGGCTATTTTGTGTGATCCAAGGATGTTTTGTTGTCGTGATGTGAAGACCACAGTTCTCATATGATTCCTGCATTGATGAATTAGTTAGTTCATGTTTTGTTTGTTTTTTTAATTGGTTTCATTTCATCCATTTTGCTTTATGGGATGCTATCTTTAGTGTATTGTGAATGGCTATGGTTCTTTCAATTTTCCGATCTTGAATATTAATTTATTTTACAACCTCCGGTTTAGTCTCTCATAAAGCAAATGAAGCGTACTATTTTTACTTTTTTTTAATTCCTTTTATTTTGTGAATTTCATGACCAGCAATGGATGTTGTGAAGTTGTTGATGCTCTCTACTACTAAAAATAGAGAAGAATTCATCAATGTCCCGGTGGTTTGCTTCAGAATCATCTATGCCCCTGTGGTTTTTTTTATCACATATGCTCTTGTACTTTGTAAAAAATAAAAAATCACAGGGGCATATGTGATAAAAAAAACATACCCTTTTGCAAACCACAAGAGCATATGTGATAAAAAAATCACAGGGGCATAAGTGATTTTGGAGTAAATCACAAGGGCATTGGTGAACTTTTTCCTTAAAAATATTATATATGTTAACAATATTATTTAATATTAAAACGTGTCTCAACGTGTTAAAATTTAACATTTTTTAGAATTAACGTGTCGAAGTGTCGTGTCCCGTGTCGGTGTCAGTGCATCATAGCTTCATGCTAATGACATCATTATGAAAAAGAAACAATCTAAAACATGACGAACTTAATTCAATACAACACCGAAAGGCTGTTATAAACCAAACCTTATTAACTCGTGATGTAAATTAAAAGTTATAAGTTGGGTTAGATATAAAGTAAAAGTTAAAAAAAAATGGGTTATACAGGCGGGTTGGTGAGTTGTAAAACAAAACCCACGCCGCCGGGTCGATCTGTTTTTTCGACCCTTTACTTATATGTCCTTCAAATAATATACCAAACAAATTATAAGTACATAAATTAAATTTGTGCAAACACATTAATCTTTTGAATTTTTTCAAATGAAATTGATTAATTGTTTTATATATTACTAATTATTAAATAAATGTCATCTCTTACGAATAATATTGGATTTAATCGGCCCGTTGCACTAATTAAAATTTAGGATATTGAATGTATTGCTCCACTTGGATAACAAATGTTAATTTCTACCCAATGGGTGCAGCTCAGTTGGTAACTTGGCGCTGAGTTAGTGGGGCTGGATATGTGTTCGATTTCCACTGAATGCATTCTTGGGGAGGGGGCTGAACCTTTAGCCATCACCGTTCCCCCGCATTCCGGATTAGTCTCATAGCCGGCTCAAAGAGTCGAAGCTCGTGGGGATATCAGAGGGAGCCAACTCGTCTCAAAGAGATAATTAGGGTTGGGTAACTCCAAAAAAAAAACAAATGTTAATTTCTCCAAATTAAGGATAAATTGATTTGCTTTTTTTTTCCTCCCGCAATTTTTTTTCAAAAATTATTTATTGAATTTCTAGGGTAAGTATATTTGATTTTGAAAATATAATTTTAATTTGTATATTATAAATACTAATTTAAGTGGATTTTATTTTAAATTTTAATAATAATTCGCATTAATCATATAATTTTTTAAACTAATTGTTATATTTATTTTGAGTATAAAAATAATCAAATTTCAAAAATGGAATATAAAAATTAAATCATGTTTAACCATTTATGCATTAATTAAAATTAAGGGTTCATTTTTTCTACAGTCAATATAGATAAGTTATCTATTAGGGCGGAACTCAAGACATATTTGTAATTATAATTTATTTCAGATAAAAAACGATGTCGTTTATCTACATTCACGGTATAAATATTAAAGCCAAAAATTAATTGAAATAATTATTATAATAAATTTTGAATACAAATTTTGAATTTTAATTAAGGGTTCATTTTTTCTGCAGTTACTGCAGATAAGTAATCTGCAGTAAGCCCAATACAACGTCGTTTTGGACGGAAATCATGATTTTTTTTATATTTTTTTTGATAACAGGTAAAAATCTTACTAAGATGAACAATGTTGGTGGTAGGGAAATAAATTTGTGAAAGGACGCATTGCTTCAGATAACCGTTCATCCGAACCCTCATGGTTCCCAATATATAAACCTTTCATATCATTTCAAATATTTCATTGCATTGGGTTCAGTTCATCACTGTTTCAATGGAATCCGTTGGCGTTCTAATGACATGCCCAATGCACAGCTACATCGAAGAAGAGCTCGCGAAGCGCTTCAACCTCTTCAAACTGTGGAACTATTCCTCATTGCGTTGCTTCTCCGAAGCACACGCTAATTCGATTCGCGCATTGGTGGGGAACACAAAAGTTGGAGCAGACGCCAACACCATCGATTCGTTGCCGAAACTGGAGATTGTGTCCACATACAGTGTCGGATTGGACAAGATTGACCTCAAAAAATGCAGAGAAAAGGGTATTCGTGTGACCAACACGCCCGATGTGTTGACCGATGATGTCGCCGATGTTGCCATTGGCCTTGCCTTGGCTGTCGTGAGAAGGATTTGTGAGAGCGATCGCTTTGTCAGAAATGGGCTCTGGAAAAATTCCGATTTTCAATTGACCACTAAGGTTTCCCCTTTCAACCTTCTTGTTTGTAAAATTACACCTTTGATTATGTTTTAACAGTGTTACGGAAATATGTTTCTCTTCCATAAAAAAATGTATACAACTCATTTTTTTCTCTCTTTTCTTAATATAGATCAGTCTTTTTTTTCTTTTTTTTGGTACATAATATAGATCAGTCTTTGTGTTGCACGAGACAAGAGAAATATATTCCCCTTAAATAAATTCATTTTTAAAAGTGAATCAATATGTTTAATATAAATTATTTTAAACCCAATTAATTATAAAGTAAAATCTTTTTTGGATACCTAACAAAAGATATGGTCCTCGTTTTAGTCCTTTATTAAAAAATTAAGAGTAAATATCTTTTTTAGTTCCTAACAAAAAATACGGTCACTCCCCACTTTAGTCTCTTACAAAAATAAATTAGTCAGTTAGTCCTTAACAAATTTAAAGTTGACCCATTTAGTTGAAATTGTGGTCCCTCACAAATTCAAAAAAGACTCATATTAGTTCCTCAAAAGGACTAAAATGGATTCACCTTGATTTTGTTAGGGACTAATTGACTAATTTATTTTTGTAAGGGACTAAAGTAGGGACCGTGTTTTTTGTTAGGGATCAAAAATGGTCTTTACTCAAAAAATTAATCACTTAGTCCCTATAAAATTTTGATTCCTATAAAATTCAAAGTAAACTCTTTTTAGTCCTTCTGAGTAATTAATATGGATTTTTTTTTTTGAATTTACGAGGAATCACGATTTCAACTAAATGGGTTCAATTTTGAGGGATTAATATGGATTTTTTTTAGAATTTGTGAAGAATCACGATTTAAACTAAATGAGTCCACTTTGAATTAATTTCTTAGTGACCTCGAGACTAATTTTTTTTATAAGAAACTAAAACGGAACCATGTTTTTTTGTTGTTGGATACCAAAAAGGACTTTCCTCTTGATTATATATGTAATATGTTAATGTAATTTGTGTATTTCAGTTTAGTGGTAAAGCAGTTGGAATTGTTGGCTTGGGAAGGATAGGTTCGACAATAGCAAAGAGAGCTGAAGCTTTTGGGTGCCCAATTAGTTACCACTCGAGATCTGAAAAACCAGAGACAGGATACAAGTACTACGCTAGCATTCTAGACTTGGCAGCTAACACTGAAATACTTGTTGTGGCATGTGCCCTTACTGAAGAAACCCGTCACATTGTGAATCGTCAAGTTATTGATGCATTGGGCTCAAAAGGAATTTTGATCAATATTGGGCGAGGCCAGCACATTGATGAGCCCGAACTTGTGTCTGCATTGAGAGAAGGACGATTAGGTGGGGCAGGGCTTGATGTGTTTGAGGATGAGCCATATGTGCCTGAACAGCTACTCGGCCTTGACAATGTTGTGCTGTCCCCTCATGTGGGCAGTGACACCGTGGAAACTTGCATGGAAATGGCAGATCTTGTCATTGCAAACTTGGAGGCACACTTCCTCGGCAACCCACTTTTGACTCCAGTGATTTGATTATTAAATTATGCGGTTTCATTTAGGTCAATGTCTACATTTACAAGTTCTAGATATATCGTCCTTTCCTACCTTTTAGTGAAGGTGAAAAAAATTTATTCAGTTAAAATAGTATTTGTTCTCGTGTCTTTCTTTCTTGTTTGCAATAAAGAGGATGTAATATTTGGGCTGGTCAATCAGTTCATATTCAGTTGATTGTTGATATCGACTTGGCATCCAATTGATGGTATAATTCCATTGTGTTCTGCAGGAGAAAACCTTCAATATGGGAAACATGTTTGCTTTTGAAAAAATAAAGCTTAATTTGTGAAAAATATATTATTTTCTAAAATAATTAATCAAATCTAAACGTCCACTTGGTAGGGGCTTAGCTTGAATCTAACCCAAATGTTATACTCATCATGAGTTTGTTACGTTGATCCGACATGAGACACGACACGACAACAAGTTAATTTTAAAAATATTAAATTTTGATATATTATGATATATTTTAATATTAAATAATATTTTTAATAATATTTGTTACATTTAATACATATAGCAACTCATAATAATCAATATAACCAATCAAATATTCAAATTTCATAACATAAATATATATTTTTCTTTCCCGAAATAATTTTTTTTTTAAGATTTCTTTACATTTTGTACGGCATTTTTTTTTTCTTTCTTTCATTGCTTACTTATTGACTTATATAAATTATTTTACGGATCAAAATATTTGTTAATAACAAAATATTTTATTAAAAATTAATGGCTGAATCTCTTAATCTATTCTCCCTTAAAAATTGGTGCATATCAATCTTAATTTATCTTCTCTTAATTTTTTTAATTAATTGTGTATATTTTTTATTATTTTAAATATTTTTAAAATTTATAGTATTCAATTTTAATCTTAATTAGGTGTATCTTATTGATTATTTTTTCTTAAAGGTATTTTAACTTATATTTTAAATTTTTACCTAAATTAAAAAAATACTCACAGAAGATTACTTAAGTCTATTAAGTAAAATTAAATGAAAAAGTTATTCAAGAAAATAATATGTGTACAAATACGGGGCGGTATGGTTTTTCTTTTCTTTCCAAACATCATCGTGCAAATGGAAAAAGTACCTCAAAAGGTTCAAAAAAATGATAAGTGAAATTAAAGACTAATGCCCCACACATGGGAAGCAAAGGGATAATTGGCCCAAAATATCATGGCTTTTCTTATCTGATTTCAGTTTCCTATATTTTTGTCACTGTTATTAAATTCTATCTGGGCATCGACTCGGTTAGGTCACTGGGTTACTGGTCGGACCGGTGGGTCACTGGTCAGACCGGTTGACCCGGATATATATAAATATATAAAAATATATATAAATATGAACATATAAATTCAATTATATTCTCTATATCTAAAATGAATTAAACAAGATTTATTAAATAAGCTCAAAAATATGAACCATAAATAAATAAAAATGCATGCTATTACTGTGTCAATTTAAATTTCAACTCAGAATCCCCATAAACATACTTCTCAATGACATTGAATTCAAATTTTTCAAATTCAACTTCATTAAAAATGACATATGTCACATTCTCTTAATTTATTATTTCGTAAATTGTTTCAGTATTGGAAGCTGAAATTTGAGATCATTGTAGAACAGTATACTAGCAAATAAAATTACAAATTTTTTTTAAAATGAGTTCTACATTTTTTTTTAACAAGATGAAACAATTTTAGTTTTTTTTTTTAAATGCATGACCTGACCGGGTCACCGGGTTTGACCAGTTTTGTCCGAGTTTTAACCGAATTTGACTGGGTCGATGCATGACCGGTCCAATGCTTAACCCGAACCGGTCCGATGACTGATTCATCGGGTTTCGGGTTGACCCGGCCAGGTCGGGCCGGGTTTTACAACTATGATTTTTGTTATCCTTTCATACTTCAAGCAGCTGCGCATTCTTCATCTTTGAGTCAATGGATACTTTATTTATCTTGATTCACTCAATATGTGGATTTCATTTTTATAAAAATATGATTTGCACATCTAATTAATAGCCCATAGATGTTTTCTTTCTTCTGACTATGGATATATGTAAGGGTGTGCAAGGAGTGATTCATAACTGATTTTAACAAATATCGAACCAAACCGTTTAAAACGATTTGGTTTTCAAACGGAATCGGTTTCTTCTTTTAAAACCGGTTTTTAATTTTCTAAACCGGTTTGAAATCGATTCCTAAACCGGTTTATGATTTATAACCGATTTTGATTTAAAATCGATTTTAAACGGGTTTTAATTCAAAATTGATTTTAAATCAAAACCGGTTATGAACCATAAACCGTTTATCAAGTTCAAAATTTGTTTTTAGCAAATTCAAAATCAGTTTTTGATGAACTGTGCTATTTTTATACGTAATTATTTGTTTCTCTAGGTTATAAGTAGTTAACCAACTATTTCTTGCAAGAATCTGTATTGTTTTGGAACTCTCCGGACGATACGATTCTTATAGAAATTGTTTACGCTATTTTGAAAGTGATTGGTAGAAGAACAGTTGAATTATTTTAAAATTATAACAAAAAAATTGCTCTTCGTTCTCTCAAGATTTTTGTTACTTAGAGTTTCATTTGAACTGATAGAGGAAGGTATAGGTAGGGATTTCAAAATATCCAAAAGAACTAAATCAATCCATAACCAAACTACTCCACATTTTAAAAAGTCAGTTATTTTTAGAAATTGGATTCATATGAAACTGTATTTTATTTTATAAACTGATTATTTACCAAACCATAAAAATAATTGGTTATCCATAACCAAACTGCTCTACAATTAAAGAATAAATAAGTAAATCCATTGTAAGTTGTCCTTTTAACGGTGTTGATTCATCATCTTAAACATCTTAGAGACGTTAAGTCAATTGATTAATTCCGTTGCCCTTTTCTTTATAATTTTTTAACTTCATCTTTGTCATTTCAAAGCCTTTGTCTTGTCAAGTTGTGAGTTTACCTAGAGGTTTGTATCTGGTTTTTTTTTTTTTTTTTGGGAAAAAAAGTTGTTACTTTACAAAAAAAAGGCTTTCTTAGGATGCGACCTTTCAATCTATGTGTAAATTTTTTTTAAAATAAATATTTTCTACTTGAGTTGCTTAACTTTTTCTGCTAGTTTATTGTTTGGAAGTTTGATTCAATTGACTAATATAATAGGCATGATAAAAGATAATACTTATTTGTTCTTTAATTGTAGATCAGTTTGGTTATGGATAACCAATTATTTTTATGATTTGACAAATAACCAATTTATAAAATAAAATGCAATTTCATATGAAACTGATTTTAAAAAATACCGATTTTTAAAATGTGGAACACTTTGATTATAGATTAGTTTGATTCTTTTGGACATTTTGAACACCCCTAAATATATGAGAGTTAGAAAAAGAACAAAGATCTTGGTTGGAGACTATAGGGGCATGGATCTGGATCCTCTCATGTGAAAAATTACATGACCATATCATGTGGGGAATCATAATCATACAAAGATGAATCAATGGTAATAAAAGAAGTGAGAGAAAAAATGTTAAAAAAGATAATTATAAAATCATACCCGTTAATTCACTTTTATATGATTGTGATCTTTTCACATGATATGTTCATGTGATTTTTTATATGAAAGAATCCATTTCCATAGGCAGCATAGAGTTGCACAGAATATATCGGCAGTTTTATTTATTTTACTTTGTGTGTGGGTGTTACACTCATTTAAAAAAGAAAAGAACAAAAAACAAAGAATACCCGGAACAATCAGATAAGAGGGCAACTTCAAAGCAGCAAAAGAAAAACCGAACAATAACTCATCATAGAAATAGTGAAATAAGCTCCTCCGCATATATAACAACATTCAACAACTGTTTTCCTTTTTAAACAGGCAAGGAACTAAGAAAAAGGGGCCCGGGAAGATAAAAGTAAAAGAACCACATTTTTTTTCACTACTACTGACCTTGGTTGAACTTTCTTTACAACTAGACATGACCTGGGGATACTCAGAGAAGAGAAGAAGAAGAAGAAGAAGAAACCCCTTTGAAGATGAGGAAATTCAGAGTCTCCAGAGTAAAGTATATGAAAGTTCCCTTGGAATGAGTGAAAAAACACCCAAAACTTGAACCTACCACAAATTGCCATCGAGAACCATATCTTGTATCAAACTCCTGCTAGTCAAAGAAACCATAAATTCAGTCAACAAAAGAAAACACTCAAAACATTAATGCCTACAAGTTTTGAAAGAACAACTCAATGCTTTGTATATCATTCAAGGAAGGGAGAAAAATGTAACCTTTTTTATGTGGGCAGCAATGGATTTGCAATCAACAACGTCATAGAGACCCAGAGCTTCAGAAGCAGATGCCATCGCTTGGATCTGCATCTTAACTGGCATATCAGTACCCTCTATCAAAGCTTTACCCTCCAACATCTTTTCGCCTGCCCAAGTGAACAATAGCACTCCTAAATTGCAGTTGCTGTTAAGCCTTATCTCCAATTAAAGCCCAGAAAGAGCTCTCTATTTATAATATGTCAACTTTCTGTTGAAGCATAAAGACCCATAAAGAGAAGAACGAAGAACAAGGCTTTGAAATTTTTACAGATACAGAAGCAGAAAACCAATCAGGTGAAAAATAAAATGCAGGTTTCATTATCTTGATAATCAGTGTAGTACAATGCCTTGAGAGCTCCCAATATATAGGAGAGAATACAAAGTAACAAACTCCTGTGAAATACGCAAGTGAGGGAGTCAGCAATAGAAAAAGGCAAACAACAGATAGCAGAAAAGAATAACAAACGAAAAATTACAAAATGGGAATTGTGTAACTGTGTATATATGTTAATACCCCCCTTCAAGATGGAGAGTGGATATTTGTAACTCCCATCTTGGAAAGAAGAAAGTTGAATTGTGAGGGATGAAGAGCCTTGGTGAACAGGTCCGCAAGTTGGTTGTTGGAAGAAACATGGAAAGTCTGCAGTGAACCTTTGGAAATGTGTTCCCTGATGAGGTGACAATCGATTTCAATATGTTTTGTACGCTCATGGTAGACGGGGTTGGCAGCAATGTGGAGGGCAGCCTTGTTATCACAGAACAGGTGTGCAGGAGAGGGATGAGCAATGTGAAAATCATGCAGTAAAGAGAGAATCCAGATAACTTCACAAGTGGCATTGGCCATAGACCGGTACTCAGCTTCTGCAGAAGACCTTGATACAGTGGATTGTTTCTTAGACTTCCAAGAAATAGGAGAGTTACCAATGAAAGCACAGAAGCCAGAGATGGAGCGGCGGGTATCAGGGCAGCTTGCCCAATCGGACGAGAAGAGGATACCTTGACCAACTGTGTGCTTGAGGTAGGCTAGAACACGATGGGCAGCCTGTAAGTGGGGAACTCTAGGAGCAGATAAAAATTGACTGAGTCAGTTCACAGCAAAGGACAGGTCTGGTCGAGTAAATGATAAATAAATCAGCTTGCCAATAAGTCTTCTAAAAGGAGTGGGGTCTGGCAGCAAGTCACCAGTATGTTGGGAAAGAGTCAGGTTTGGTTCCATTGGAGTAGATTTGGGCTTGCATCCAGAAAGACCAGTGTCATAAAGAATATCAAGAATATATTTGCGTTGACTGAGAAAGATGCCTGTGGATGACCGAGCCACTTCAACACCAAGGAAGTATTTAAGCGAGCCAAGATCCTTCAACCTGAAACAGCTATCAAGGGAAGAAATAAACTGCCGAATAGTGTTAGAATCATTGGAGGCAACAATGACATCATCAACATAAACAAGCACAGCAAGCATAATTGTGCCATTATATTTCAAAAAAAGAGAGTGATCCGTTGCAGATTGTGAAAGATTCATTGAAAGCAACGTGGAACTAAGCTTCTGAAACCATTGGCGAGAGGCCTGTTTGAGGCCATAAAGAGATTTCCTTAATCGGCAAACTGGATTTGGAGGAAGTGACGTGCTGTGACAGCCATAACCAGGAGGCAATTTCATATAAACCTCCTCACTGAGATCACCGTGAAGGAACGCATTATTGACGTCCAATTGGTGAAGAAACCAACCATGAATTGCAGAAAGAGCAAGAAGTAGGCGAACAGTGGTAGGCTTGATGACAGGAGAAAAAGTTTCAAAATAGTCAATGCCTTCCCTTTGAGAGTAACCTTGTGCAACCAAGCGAGCCTTGTACCTTTGAAGACTGCCATCAGCATTGCATTTGACGCGGTAAACCCATTTGCATCCAATATCTGATTTACCAGGGGGTAGGGAAACAATATCCCAAGTCTTGTTCTGCTCAAGAGCAGATATTTCATGTTGCATAGCAGTACACCATTCGGGTAACTGAGAAGCCTGGGAATAATGAGATGGTTCATAATGGGAGGACAAGGTATAAAAGCCAAGTGAGCAGGGGAAAGATGATGATAGGATAGAGAGTGGGACATAGGATGGGCTGTTGTGGTAGAACAGGCATAGTCCTTAAGGTAAGTAGGGGGATGAGTGGCTCTTGAAGGACGTTTGGGGACAGCAGCAGTGGTGAGTTGAGTAGGTAGGGATGTATCAGGTATGGAAACAAGAGGAGTAGAAGATATAGGAGAAGAGGCAAATGGAAAAACAGATTCAAAGAAAACGACATCCCGGGATATAAAGACTCGATTGGAATTGAGATCCAGCAGCTTATAACCCTTGTAACCAGCTGGGTAACCAAGAAAAACTGCAGGAAGAGCCCGAGGGGAGAACTTGTGTCTACTGCGGGTAAGTGTGGAGGCATAACAAAGACAACCGAAAACACGAAGGTGAGAGTATTTCGGCGGCTGTTTGTAAAGAAGAGTAAAGGGAGTATTATTGGACAAAACAGGAAAAGGTGTATGATTAATAAGATAAACGGAAGTTGAGACACACTCCTGCCAATAGGGGAGAGGGAGATGCGATTGGAAATGAAGAGCACGAGCAACATTTAGAATGTGCTGGTGTTTACGTTCGACCACAGAATTTTGTTGAGGTCTATCGACACAGGAGTGAAAGACTGCAATCCCTTTAGATGAAAATAAAGGAATGTTAAATTCAGGTGCATTGTCAGAACGGATAGACTTGATGGACACACGAAACTGATTCATAATGGATGTATAGAAATTAGTGAAAACTGAGGAAAAATCAGATTTGCATTTAAGAAAAAAAATCCAAGTGAAACGTGTGCAATCATCCACAAGTGTAAGAAAAAACCGAAAACCATCAATGGAGACAAGGGTGAATGGGCCCCAGATGTCACAGTGGATTAAGTCAAAAGGTTGAAGAGATAATTGTGGATTTAACAAAAATGGTAAGCACTTTTGCTTAGCTAAAGGACAAATATTACAATGTAAACTTTCAGAACAAGAACTCAAATGTAAAAATTCTTTCATTGATGATAAGACTGGTACAGAGAGGTGACCTAGTCTAGAGTGCCATAAGGCAACATTCTTTTGAACAACAGAAAAATAAAGGGGTGGGGGAACATGATTTGTGGGGAGAAGAGCAGCAGAATCAAGGATGTATAACCCACAAACCAGATTAGCAATCCCAATCATTTTGCCCGAGAGACGTTCCTGAAGAAAACAATGGGAAGACACAAAATGAGCAACAATGTCAGTATGACGAGTAAGAGCACCAATGCTCAACAGATTAAAAGAAAAAACTGGAACAAATAAAACATCAGTAAGGGTGAGAGAATCAGAAAAAAAAAACAAGACCCCTTGGAGGTCACCGGAACAACCGTTCCATTGGGAAGAGACACGGTGGATTCATATGTGGAAAGGGTGTGTGCTGATGATAAAGGAACACAGGAGACGTGATGAGTAGCTCCGGTGTCCAGAACCCAGCAAGAATAGGGCAAGGAAGAGGGGAACTCACCACTGAAGCTGGCAACGGTGGGGTTAATATCGAGATTTGGGGAAGGCGGTGGAGAAAAAGACGGTGAGGTGGGGTTCGATGAAATTAGGGTGAGGAGCTGTTGGTACTGATGTGGTGTAAAGGTATGAGAAGGGGAGGATGAATCAGCAATAGCTGAAACCCTGGCGTTTGAGTGAGGGGGTAGATTGGGCCTGGTCGATTTGGGCTTATACCCTGGTGGGTAGCCATGCAACTTGAAACATTTGTCTTTAGTGTGGCCCAAACCGTTACAATGGGTGCAGAAAGGGCGCTGACGGCGTGGAACTCCCCCAGTGGCAGCAGCAACGGAAGGTGGAGAAGCCATGGACGGTGGAGGAGCAACATCAGGAGTAACAGAGACCGAGGATGTAATCTCCCTCTGTCGTTCTTCTTGCAGAACCAAGGAGAAAACCTTGGACAAAGACGGAAGAGGATCCATGAGAAGGATCTGTGCCCGAATCGAAGAGAAGGAATCATTTAAACCCATGAGAAATTGCATGGCATGGTCCTGGTCACGATCACTGGTAATGGACCGTAAAGCACCACATGTACAAGGATAGGAAGGGGAGTAATCAAGAAGCTCATCCCACAAAATTTTCAAACAGGTGTAGTAAGTGTTTATAGAAAGGGCACCCTGATGCAGAGATGAGATCTGGAGTTTCAATTGAAATATACGAGGGCTGTTAGCTTGGTGAAAGCGATGATGAAGATCGGTCCAGATGTCATAGGCATTGGTAAAATACATCAAGCTATCAGCGATATCCTTGGAGACTGAGTTCAGAAGCCAGGAAATGACCATGGAATTACATTGATTCCAAGCATGAAACAGAAGATGGTCCTGAGAAGGACGAAGGAGAACACCATCAACAAAGGATGATTTGTTCTTTGCTGTAAGAGCTATAAGTGTAGCTCTGGACCAGGAGATGAAGTTCGAACCAGTTAGGGAATGAGTGACCAGAATCAAACCGGGATGATCACCATTACTGAGATAGTAAGGACTATTGGTGTCATCAACGGATTGAGATGGGCCAGAAGAACCTCCACCATTGGGATTAGAGGTATTACTATTAGCACCGCCACGAGCCATGGAAAAAGGCCAGAGCAGTGACTAGGAAAGAACTGTTAAATCTGATACCATTTTACAGATACAGAAGCAGAAAAGCAATCAGGTGAAAAATAAAATGCAGGTTTCATTATCTTGATAATCAGTGTAGTACAATGCCTTGAGAGCTCCCAATATATAGGAGAGAATACAAAGTAACAAACTCCCGTGAAATACGCAAGTGAGGGAGTCAGCAATAGAAAAAGGCAAACAGCAGATAACAGAAAAGAATAACAAACGAAAAATTACAAAATGGGAATTGTGTAACTGTGTATATCTGTTAATAGAAATCACCAAGCAAAAAACATGACTTCATTCCAAGTGTGAGGGAATCACTCAAATGACCAAATCAAGCTGGCACCAAGGCACACAATCCAACTTTTCTGAGCTTATTCAGGGATACGGACACGGACACACGACACAGGACACGAC